GCTTGTTAACTTAGCGAACGAGCCGACCACGAGCTATTCGCGGCCCGTTTTGACAACCCTAGTTTTGGTTATGGGCGCAATTACATATAGCTCCCCTGAAACTTGTTATTTACAAATCAAACACACTCTTTTCATTTTTTAAATTTTCGCTAAAATATTAAAATTTATGCTGAAACCTCAACCCATATTTTTCATTTTTCTCAAATTCACAATAGTCTTGGGTTTGATGGTTAAAAAAAATCATTTGGTTGGTTAATCTGTAAATATTAGTGTTTTGAGTGATTTGTATGTAATTATCCCTTTGTAAATATATTAATTTGTAGTTCAAAGTAGGGCTGTGGCTCATTGTTCGAGAATAACACGTGTTCGGCTCGTTAAGAAGCTCGTGTTCGGCACACAGATATATATATATATATTTGATGAACATTAATATGATGAGTAGTACTTCTAAAAAATTTAATTGTAATCAATTAAAAGTATTAATTAAGAAAATAGAATAAAAATTATTAAATTTAATTCAAATGATGTTTTAAATCTTGCTTTAATCCTTAACATCTTATGGCTGCATGATTAGGATTGTCTAAACGACCTTTGTTCGTGAACGGTTCGTGTTCGACTCGCTAAGCAAACGAGCTGAACACGAACACACTTTTTGAGCTCGAAATATAAACGAGCGGAACACGAACACGAACACGAGCTGAGCTTGGGCTCGCTCGTGTTCGGCTCATTTACACCCCTAGTTCAAAGAAATTACTCGTGTCGTTAATCTGCAAATAATAATGTTTAGGGGGGCCTATATGTATTTATCCCTTTTATTAATTCAAACGAAGCTAGACTTTAATTATCCCTTTTATGGGGCAGTTACATGCAGGCCACTTGAAATTTGTTATTTACAAAACAAGCACCCTCTTCTATTTTGTTTTTTTCACGTTCTCACAAATATTAAACATGCATCAATTTAGTAGTTCAAAAAAATCACCTGGGGGATTAATTTGTAAATATCAACGTTTCGGGTGATATATATGTAATTATCCCTAAAACTTTAGTTTAAATATTTTTTTTTGGGAATTACATAATATTTTTCATTTTAGCAACATATTTAAAATCTATTTTATTGCATGTAGTCATGATCAAGGCATGTCTAAAAATAATTATGAGTTATAACACGAGAAAACCTGATGAAATTGAAATGCATGAAATAAATAGGCGCACGAGAAAATTTTTACGAGATTCAGCCCCCTGGTCGCTCTACGCCCAACCAAACTCACTGAGTTAGCAATCTTCCAACCCGCCGATCGTCGCATAGACACCTTATCATTTGCTAAAAAACTCGTGTATTTCTCTCAAGTTTGGAGGCGCTTTAATGTGCTCTTGGAAGTTTTTCGCTCTTGATGAAAAATTTAAATTTGAATTATTTCTCTAAGAGTTTTTTTTTTATATACTTAATTTTAAGCCTAATTTCTTATGAAAAAAACACTTATTTGAAAATGTAGTAAAAATTAAGAATATTATTATTTAAATATATTTCAAAAATAATATAAGAAGGCAGTTATTTGATTATATATGGTTTTGAATAGAATATGGGATTAATACACATTAATGGGAATTTAAACAATTGAAATCTGTTATGGGCAGTTGAGACAAATAGGAAGCTTAATATATTATATATTATTATAAAATTATTTTCTAAGGTTTTATCGTTTAAAAAAAAACTAAGAAGTGCATATCTCGTATTAAAAACAATAAATGTGTATATACTTAGGGCGGTAAAAATGACTCGTTGATCACAAACAGCTCATGTTCAGTTGGTTAAGAAGCTTGTGTTCGAGTATTTAGAGCAAAATAAGATCAATTTTTTTTGCCCTCGATAAATAAATGAGCCGAACACGAACGAACAAATTTTCGTTTGTGTTCGGCTCGTTTTGGCTCGAAATACTACTC